CTGCTTTTCTTTGAACTATGATTATTGACTTTTCTAACTATTGAAGATAGTCTTTGAAGACTAAGGTGAATTCTCACAGGAGCAGGTATGTAGGTGCTATGATCTGTAACAGAGCTTATAGTGGAGACTTATACAGGGAAAAGAAAGCACATTTTTTAAAAAGACACCAAGTTTCCTAATCTGATCATTATATTATTCATATACTTTGGGTGCATGGGGTAATAAAAAGATCCACTACTGGTGGTGAAAATTATTGATTTGTAAAATATTAAGAGAAAAATAATATTTTATACACGTGAGTGGGGAACAGGGTAACTTTAAAATAGAAGTGTGAGGCAAATTTTGAGTACAAGAAGGTAATGTCATATCTGAGAGGGACCATATTAAACAATGTTGGCTAAACTATAAAATGGGATTATGAAAGAAGTATTTGTATTCAGGGTGTCCTGAATGGGATTGATTCTATTTAGATTGTGTTGTTATAACTTTTTTACTACTTAAGAGTTGGTTTTAAATTTCCAGAATATAGAAATATTAAAAATAATGAGAGGGAGCTACCACTCAGGTGCCATTAAAAGTTATATTTGGAATATGTGTGCCAATGTCAGTTTACCTTCTGTAATAATAACAGTAGAAGAATCATCAGCCAGTCCTCAAAAGTTTAAATCATTTAGGAAAATGGGGAAAAAAAATTCCAGGTAAGTAACAAGACTAAAGGACTAGAGTTTAAATGGTGGTTTTAGAAAATGAGATGTCATAAGTTACGGTTTTTCAGATGGATTTTTTTAAAGGTAAAAAAATGCTTTCTTAACAGGATAGGCAGTATGACAAATAGGAGAAGAAATAGTGACAGAACTACTTTGCAGTAAAGTTTATGTAGAATAGTATTTTGCAGAAAATAACAGAAACATCATTGTTTATGCAGTATCATGAAGAGCCATGAAGTTAACTGATTGATTGATTTTTGAATCCAAAAAACAAATAATGAAAGAGCCTTCTCTGGGTTTTGACTTGTTCAGATATTATTTCCAACAAATTTGAGCTAGGAACTAACAGAATGTCTATCAGTATGGAAATAATTAGAATGTTGGATATTTTAGACTGAATGTTGGTCCACTCTTCCAGCTTGAAAGAAAATTTGAGTTTCAGAGTTTTTTCTAAATGGGAAAGACTGTTGATTTAGGATTACTTTCTTTCAGTTAGGATTATAACAGTTACATTTTTTTTAAAAGGGATTCTAAAAATTATTTTGGTACTGATATATAATTTTTAATTGTTTCCATGTTTTCCAAATACCATATTAAAATTTTAATGAATTTAATTTCCTATAAAAGGAATTCCTTTAAAATTCTACTTTGCTATTGATTTCCATCTTTTTTTTTTTTTGAAAGAATTTATTGAGAGGACAGGAAAGCTCCCACAGTGGGAGGGGACTCCAGGGGGTTGCCCTGATTTCCATCTTAAAGGTTAGGAAAGGCTTCTATCTGAAGCTCCTCACATAGTGAGTGTCAGATTTTTGACAATGAAAGTACTAAGATTCTGAGCAGCCCTGGAAGATTAAGTATACCTGTATATTCTTCAGATTTATTAGGAATTTTGGGCATCACCCAAGTGTTTCTTTTCCATTACATAGAACTTTACTGACCTACCTATCCAACTTTTCCTATCCCTGGGGACCCTCCAGCCAGGATACCAAACTCTACTACCCAACCCAATTCTCCTCCTTTTGTTTTACTAGGGTAGTCATAATTTCTATATGTCTATATTCCAGACTATGTATTTTAAAGCCTGAAATCTCAAATATATGAAGCAGATTTGTTAAACTATATTTGCTTACATTGGCCTATAAAGATTAAATATATAGGTGATTAATGCACTGCTCCAGTATTGCGCACTTCAGACTACCTCTTGGGTAAAAGCATAACTTAATCAGTATTACAAAATTACCTTTTTTTTTTTTTTAAAGAAACTGTCATCCAGACTGACATGTAGTAGCTTGATTATGGCTCGCTGCAACCTTGAACTCCTGGGCTCAAGAGATTCTCTCGCCTCACCCTCCCGAGTAACTGGGATTACAGGCCTTAGCCGCTATACCTGACCTCAAAATTACTTCCAATTCTCAACTTAGATGATTAATATTACTTTTATCATATGTGTTTTATGATAGTATTGAATTTTTTATAATTTCTAATGCAAACAATTTGCAGTCTAATACAGTCTTAATTTTGGAATTCACAAATGAATGACTAATTCCGTAATAGTGAAAGTAGAGATATACTATGTATTGTCTTTTTATGTCTTGAGTTAGTAATCCAAGTATCTAAAAGTAAATTAATATGCAACTTTTCTGCTTCAAAGTTGAGCTTACACTTGAGTTCAAGATGCATATTTTTGACTGTTTAAAAATTATTTAAACCTGAGCCTTGGGACCTTTAAAGTCTCAGCATGCCTTTTAACCTAGAACTTCCCCTTCTTTTCAAATTTAAAAAATTTTTTTAATTTATAGAGACAGAGTCTCACTGTGTTAACCTAGACTGATCTCAAACTCCTGGGCTCAGGCAATCCTTCCTCAACCTCCCAAAGTGCTGGGATTACAGGCTGAGTCATGGTGCCTAGCCTTGGAACTTCCTCTTCTGCTTTGAGCTCTAGCAAGCCTTCAAGTCAAAGTAAGTTACCTTTCTCAACACTATGAGAATAGAGAGGTCACCACTTGTTTACTATCTTATGATGTAATGCCTGGATCAATACACAGGTGTCCCCTTATTGTGATGATACAAAGTATATAGCTTTATCCCCTTTCTGAAATACTTTACTAAAGAAATTGCTTTGCATTTAAAAGTAGAAATCAAACTACCTTGGATTTTTTGGTTTTCTCTTTAGTTTTTTATTTTGTTTTAAGGAGAGAAGAGAACCAAACATTAATTTAGCGTTTCAACCACAAATATTTGGACTCAAAATGACAAATTATAGAGCAATGTTCTTGTCCTTTAAATCTTAGGGGAGAAATTAAGATTATGTGCCCGAAACAAGCCTCCGTCTCCTATTTTAAAACTGTTTTTCCTCGTGTGAAAACTACAGGAATCTTTACATATCATATTTACTTTTCCTACAAATGGAGCTAAATTGCTATAAGAGATTGGATTTATTTTATATGTTTCTATATTAAAGATGAATGATGTAAATTGAGCGGTGGACTCAAAATTAGGTCTATAAACCTGTAAGCAGAATCAAATATAAAAACAAGCTTACTCAGCAAAAACTTTGTTTTGGCAACTTCAAAGAATATTGAATGTTTAACAGAAAAGGAATTAGATTAAGAACTCTTCCAAATATGCATCTTTTATGCTTTTTAATGTAATTTTTTTAAAGGTAAGACTCAGAATGAGAAGGTGTGGAGAAAAGTATACATTAATGAAAGCTATATACTAAAGCAGACCTTCAGCAGCAGCTTTTATAACTGTAATAAATGCTTTGTATTCTGTTCTCAAGCTGTTATGCAAATCTGGTGACTTCTTGTACTATAATTTCCTTAAGGTATTTTTATAGAATTGAACCAAATTGTATTGCCTTTCATCTCCCCACCCATTTATAGTTCCAGGTTGGAATCGGTATTTCAGGTACAGTAGGGACGCATCTAAAATGTTTGTGTATCAGAAGAGATGTTTCGAGCTATTTAAGCTCAATTTCAGTTAAGCATCCTTTGCCACAGCAGTATCTTTCTCAGGACACTGCTGTCTCTCAACCAGTTACATTTTAAGATTTTGTCAGTTTTTAAACATATATTTTTATACAGTAATCTAGGCAGTGAATTTTTTTCCATACCCGTGTGGGCATATAGGACAACTACTACTTCTTCCTATAGGTAGTTGCTTATGTTCCTGAACATTATTATTAGAACAGCAGTTCTAGGAAGGTAATCATGTAGAAATTTACATGTGATTCTTGTGAACTTTGGAAATTATCGATGTTTTGGGGAACTTGAGGCTTATCTTTAATTTTTTATGGTCATTGTGAGATAACATGCTATTTGGGAGTTATTAGACTAGTCTCTTTACTCTGAGATACTAAGTTACTTAACGGCGGTGTTAAATGGAGGTAGTGTTAGGTTAATATAAAATTGTGAGAAGTGTTTTTCTGAGTTGTATACCCATTTGCCTCAATTTTTTTCTCAGTATTAATCACTTCAGGCAGTGACTGTCTTCAACTCTGTAATACTTAATGTATCGGGTATCTTGTGGGTGCAGAATATAGCGATTACCAAAACTTCTTTTTAAACAGGCCAGGCAGTGACTGAAGCCTGTAGGACTTTGGAAGGCTGAGGTGGGAGAGTCTCTGGAGGCTGAGTTCAAGACCAGCCTGGAAAATATAGCAATACCCTGTCTCTACAAAAAATAATAAGCTTAGCCAGGCATGATGGTGCCTGCCTGTAGTCCTAGCTACTCAGGAGACTGAGGTGGAAGGATCACTTGAACCCAAGAATTAGAGAAAGCAGTAAGCTGTGATTGCATTACTGGACTCCAGCCAGGGCAACAGGGCTAAGTTCTGCATCTAAAAAAAGTAAAAATAAAAAACAAATAAACAAAGATAGCTTTGTCCTTCCCATCCTCTTCACTCGAAAGTAGTCAGTTCTTTCCCACTGCTTTGCATAAGGCATTAAGATAACTGTTAGTTTTACTGTGAAATAGTTATATACTAGGGTTTTCTTTAGTACGAAGACCTACTTTTACTGCTTAATCATCACAAAAGAACTTTATTCATGTTATTTTTGTGATGCCACAGATAGAATACTTATGTAAATGTAACCCTACTAATGGTACCAGAAAAAAGTGAAGCATTATTTACTTCTATGTTAATTTATATTCATCTGATAGTTATTCCTGTGATTTGATTTGGTTGAGTTCTTTGGAAGATTATTTCCTTTTTCTGGGGGGTTGGGGGTGTGAGAAGAGATGTACTACAGTGGTCAGTAGTTAAACAAAGACACAACACTGGAAGAGGGGGAAATTTAATTCAAGTTTTTATTTAATCAAAAGTCAAAATGTGAAAACTTGATTAGTGGAGTTACTGAATTGGTGAAACATACAATCAAAAGTGAATTCTAAGAACTGTATTTTGCAGGTCGTCATGGCGGGGTATTTGGGAGTTTTCAATTGTCCAGTCCCACTGAACTGTATCTTGATTTCATGTTTTTATCATATCTGTAGTTTGTATCTTAATAGATATAACTCAAAAGCTTCATATAGACATCGCAAGTAATAATCATTGGATGCTTTGTTTCAGTGCTGGGTTATCTGCCTTTGGAAAGTAGTTCCCAGAATTTAGGTAAGATTGGAAAGACACTGCCTGGAAGAGTTCCCCCAAAAATGCCCTTTATGGAGCTCAAGAGAATCTCAAGTAATACTAGGCGAGATACTGCCCTAAGGCCTTGCACACTTAAACTACCTGAATGTGCCTTTCTGAATATTATTATTCCAGAAAGTGAACATGAATATAACTGCCACCATTTGTTAACATTTTATGCCTGTGTAATTTTCAAGTAGTTGTGTGGTGATTATTTTTAGCTGGTTGGGCCCCAAATACTATATTAGGATAATAATCCATGTTTTTTACCATGAAGAAATGCTGCAATACAACATGCACTCATCTCTCAAATATGAGGAAAACTGGGATAACAGTTACATCATTAGTTTAGGAATTTGGGAATATAGTTTTTACTAGTTAGTTTGCATTGTACATAAAATTAAGCCAAAAGACCTATTCTCTAAACTTGGAGTCACTAATGAAGTCTGTTAATTTTGCTGTACGTTGTACAGTTAACGTTGTGTAATTGAAATGATCAAGATACTAATAAATCCTCTGGTGATCACAGAAGTGTAATTTTCCCCACTTTATACAAGAAGACTAAAACTAGAATTTAAAATGTTATTTAAAATTTTGCTTGCTTCAATAGCAAAGATCAGGTGACTGAGTTTTTTTTGTTTTGTTTTTTTACATGATTCTAATCTGGGGCCTTCTTCATGTTAGCCACTCTAATTGAGTCTTAAGTGAAAACAAGCTTAAATATAAGGGGTTTGGCAACTTTAATGAAAAAGAAGAAAACTCTTGAGAGAAGGTTATCAGGAAATTTGATGACTAAAAATTGAGAAATAATAGCCGTCATATTTAAATTTGAGAAGCTAGTAATTTTGACTTAAATGCATAATACACTAGAGTCCCCAATGCAAATGTGCTTAATCCCTCATTCTGTGTATACCTATTTATACTTCTTTTAAGAAGTTGATATAATTAAGAAAATTGTTAAATATGAACCCACTTTTCTAATTCCTTCACCCCTCAACCAGGACTCTCAAGTATAACGTGGAAAAGGAGGAGAGAGATTTTCAGTGGGGAATTATTTATTTTATAGCATTTGTGAGAATATTGAGACTATTCTTCCTCATCTTAATTTTACATCTCTCTACTGGCTACCACAGAATGATTCCAAGGTCAGTACTGTCTTTCTTTAGCTTGTGTTAGCTTCTGCCATGTGTTTTTCCATGTTTATGGAGTCTAATTTAAGCTTCTCAAGGAGAAAAGAAAAGCTAAATATAGAAAGGTAGGATTACTTTCATGTTTAATATGCAAGGGTATAGAATATTAGGACACAATTTGGATTTTTTTTTCCTAAAATATGTGTGGTTATAGGCTGGTTTTCAACTTCCTTCACTGAAATAAAAAATATAGTTAAGGAACAGGGATGAATACATAATAGCACATGTAATATCTGACAGCTTGGGCATATTCCTTGTCACTTCCTAATCTTGAGAACCACAGTTTGCTGTTTTAGAGGTATCTGAGAGGTTCCAGATAAAAGGTGATTGCCGAATGTTCTTAGACCTTGAGCGTGCTGGATGCCCTAAAGTAGGAGAGGAATTTGTAACAGAAGTTCACGATGAAGAACCAGACATTCCGAGCCATCTGAGATCTTGCAATGAGAAGGCGCCAGGCGATAAGGAAGAGGGCAGTATTAAAGAGGTAGTGAATGTTTCGGAGCCTGGGGAACAGACACACACAACCAAAGTTAAAACTACCAGACACCTACCTATATTATCTGAAGACAAATGCATCTTTGTGAAGTGATCACAGAATATCTGGCATGGCCTTTTGGGTTTTGTCTCCCATTTCCATAACATTCTTACTGAATAGGCAGATTTCCACCATAATTCCATAACTAATTTCTCTTTCTCATACCTGTCTCTACTTGGAGCTATTTAGAAACATGACTACTGTAGTCTTTCTTGAATATACTTTGATCATATTACCACATCATAAATCTTTACTGCTTCTTGTTCACTAGAGGGCACATTCTAAACTTCATAGCCTGCTACTCAAGGTCCTCCCTGTTTGCAACCTACCTTTCTGTCATTATTTCTGCAGTACAAATTCTGTGCTTCTACCAGGATTATCCTGGAGTGCTATAATTCTTTGTCCCTCAAGGATTATGACAAAGTAATTTAAGGAAGTTAAAGGAATTGGAAAGTGGTCAAGTGTTTAAACAGCACGGTCAGGTCTCCTGTCTATTGAGTATTCTTTATCTCACATGACAAGGTGTGGCAGATGGACAAGTTACTTGCCATCTTTGAGCCTAAATATCTGGTAAAAATGGAATAACACAAATGATACCTGCTTCATAGGGGTGTGGTGAGGTCTAAATGGAGTCTAAGTTACAGGGCATATTACACGGCGCAGGCCCTATAATGCAGTAAATGCTCGAGATGCTCAAGAAATGTTAATTTCTCCCGTTTCCTGCACCCTGCACACATTTTATGTCTGGTATAAAATCAGATATATGGTAGGTGCTCCAATAAATATTAACTGACTGATTAGACTTACCTTTTTAAGTGTTGCTTTGCTTCTGGGATCCCAGCCATATCCTCTTTCAATAAGTACTTTTTAACTCCCAAAACGTAATTTTCAATGTATTCCAACCAGTTCAACTGGCGCACATCAAAGTTGAATACCTGAAAGGCAAGAGAGATAAATTGTGGATTGTCAGAATTGCACAACTGGAAAGTCACTCTGTCCACTTGAGTTTCTTTTACATAAATGATTGGCATTAGTTTGGGAGATATAGGTTGGACCTCTTCAAAGGACAGATCATTTGAGCTGTTATTTCACAGGGATTGATAATATGGATTACCATTTACATAGGAAGATTTAAACATGGACCAAGCACAAACATGTCACATTTAGGAAGTTTTAGGAGGAAAATGTAAGGAACTGGTATTACTTAGTCTGGTGAAAACCTATGGTTGGCTTGGTGTACTTGTTTCAAGTAAATGAGAAGCAGTTATTTTAAGAAGTCAAAGATTAATACGTTAATGACTAGAACGTAAATTAGACATCTTTCCCATTCCTCTTAAATTTTGCTGTTGTCCCCTTGGCCTACCATCCTTTCCTTCAGCATTGCCACTTCATTGTGCATATTAGAGTAAGCTTTGGGAAGCAAATCCTTAAGGAATAGATGAGCAGAATTTATATTTAAGAGTGGACTGGGCTCAGCCTGTAATGCCAGGACTTTGGGAGGCCGAGGCCAGTGGATTGCCTGAGCCCGCGGGTTTGAGACCAGCCCACAACTTGGTGAGACCTCCTCTCTTCAATAAATCAAAAATTAGCCCAGCATGGTAGCGTGTTCCTATAGTTCCAGCTACTTGGAAGGCTGAGGCGGAAGGATCACCAGAGCCCAGCAGGTCGTCGCTGGGGTGGCCATGAGCATGCCACTGCACTCTAGCCTGGATGACAGAGAGACTCCACCTCAAAAATAAAAAAAAGAGGGACTGGTAGTGATGAAAAGAGTGGTACACGATGGAGAGGAGGAGGGAAAAGGGAAAAGGCAGAGACTGACTTAATTGGGAGGAGAAAGTTTGCCACACAGAGGTAGATATTGAGAATGACAAGGAAAGAGGATTACAATTTTTTTCCCTAATTTAAAATGTATGATCTTTTGGGGTTTGTTATTAAAAAGCTTAGAGTAAAGATCTGAATAGATTTCATTTCTTGTGTGCTTAAGAAACGATGCTGTGCTGAGGCAGGATCATTGGGGGGGGGCAGCTTTATGTAGATTACAAATAGAGATAGGATGAGTTGGGAAGAGAAACCTGATAGGTCATCACTGAGCTATCTAGGCATCTTTTCAAAATCTCCATAAGAAAAGCTTAACTGGGGAATGAGCTTTAAATATAATAGAAAAAATAGTTTTGATTGAATATAAAGAAGTTAAGGCAATCAAAATTGTTAAACAGTAGAAAGTGTTAGGAAGACTATGGTGTCATCTCTGGAAATTAGTATTAGGTACTTCTCGGAGGGTTTTGGTATGACTGCTGAAATAATATGAAATAAAAGATTGCATCAGTGAGTGGTTTTGGTTTTTTTTCTTTCATCATGTTTAATACATAGTGTCAACAATGCCACAGGCAATAATTTTCTGTTCAGCCATTACACACAGAAGGAGGACACTGAAAAACCCTTCCCTCTTCAGATCATGGCAATTTTAATCTGTCCCACAAGCATAGCCACTAAAATCTATTATTAGGAGAAAATGTGGTAGTCAGATGGGAAATGGTTTTGGTTTTATAGGGGTATTTGGAGAGAATGGCCTGAAAAAATGAGCTTGTGCTAGCATTAAAATTCCAGTATTTAAAATATCTTAGCAAGTGGAAGATTTGTTTAAGGTGCGTCAGTCCATTGGGCACTTTTCTCTTTCCTGGGACTTGCAATACTCTCAGATCCCTTTTTGCCTATTAAAAGCCTATTCTCAGTACAGAGTTTCTCTCATGTACAATGAAGGAGAATTCTGGTTAGTCTTAACAGATTGAACTTCCAGTGAGACCTTACTAGTAAGGATTTTGATAGCAAAAAAAAAAGGCTTAATTCAAATAAATTATGTTCCTAAAACAATAGCTGGCACAAGGTAGGTATTCAATAAATACTCGAATACATGAATGCATTTTAATACTATTTTAATATTAATTTTTAAAGCCACAAGTGTTTCTTTTTTGTTATACAGCAATTTCTTGTTATTTGATCATCATATAAGGTATACATGAATATAACCAAAGTAAATTCTTTGTTTCTTTATTCAGAGAGCTAGTGTTTGATGGAGGCTTAGATTGCATCAAATAAAAGGCATGAATTGTCAAAACCAAAAAGCCAATCACCACTAAAATTCAAGCTTATTGACTTTAAAAGGGCTATGCTACTTCCTGAGAATCTCTTGGGCTTAATTCATAACTTGCATCTTTCCTCCAGAGTCTATAATTAGCTTTGTTTCCTTTTATCTAGGAAATATTAAGCTTCCAAAGAATGTAATTAAAGTTGACATTTAAAGATTTAGTACTTCTCTAGGGCTACTCAATTCTGCCTCCTTTATATGCAAATAAAAATGGTATATGTTAATAACAAGAAGCCATCTTAGATTTGGAAAGGAAGTAACTAAATATTCATATCCCTAATTAACATTCTGAGCGTTCAATAAACATTTTTTAATAATAGGCTCTTTGTTGAATCATTATCCATATTGTTTTTGGCTTAGCCTCTCAACTTTCGTGGACAAACATTACAACTTTTTTAAAGTTATTACTGTATTTACTTTACAGATGTTATGCATTGTATCTTAATGTGTCATTTTAGGAAGCCATTCATAAACATTTCTTTTAGAGTTAAACGATAAGAAAAGCTTTATTTCTTTTGCAACACTGGTATAATCAATCTCTCCTTTTGGACAGTGAGTTCCATGAAACTATATTGACTTTTCACTTTGCCACCAGAAAGCTCAAGAACAAATTTTTGCTCTTGTAGATCACATATAGACATTTTATAATTTTACACAAACACACACACACACACACACACACACACACTTTTGTGTGAGTGTCGAGGTCTTGCTCTGTTGCCCAGCCTGGCGTGCAGTGGCAGTTCACCGCAGCCTCAACCTCCTGGGATCTGGCAATCCTCCCACCTTAGTGTGTACTCTGGGACCACAGGTGCATGCCACCGCACCCAGCTGCTTTATTTATTTGTAGAGAAAAGATCTTGCTATGTTACCCAGGCTAGTCTTGAACTCCTGACCTTGAGTGATCCTCCCGCCTCAGCCTCCCAGAGTGGGATTACAGACATGAACCACCAAGCCCAGCCTTATTTTTATATATTCTTAGCTGTGACTTTATATTCTGGTTCAAATTTTCTCTGGTTTTGTGTTTTATTTCTTTTTGTTCTTTTGTGTTATATCTATTTATTGCAAGGTATCTCAAACCTTTGTGAAATTTGGAGTAGTAACAAAAAGAGCAGATGAGAATGAGTTCCAGAGAGGCTTCACAGATGTGTCCAAAAGTTGAATTGCTTTTCAAAAGTAATTGTTATCACTTTGTTTGGATATGTTTTTCATAGTATCTTTTAATATTACTTATTCATCTATATAAGGTTTTTATTTTTATACTGTTTCATCTTTCTAAATTAGATTTCAACAAGACCCTAGTTAGGAACCCTGATTCTCTGGCAAATCCAACTGAATCCTGAGCCACATCAGAATTTGGCAATTACATTTGGGACTATTTTGCTAAGATATTTTGAGAGCATATGTTAAATCTGAAGCTTTGATCATTTCTTTCACAAAATTTTACACCATTTTAGATTGAAATCATAAAATACCAAAAATGAAACTAAGCTCATTACCTTTTGAATTATCTACATGGGTAAATTTCATGGAGAAAATAATTAGAATAAGCCTATATAAAATTTGAAGCTAATTTTTAAAAGAATTTACCATAGCTTGAATTTGCTTATGAGTTTTGTGTTTTTATAAACTGGTTTAATCATCATCCATGCATTTTAAACACTAGCACCAGAAGACTTTTGTGTATACAGTATGTAAACCTTTCTGAATAGCTCTATTTTATGTTGATTTGAGAGGTATTCAGCAGTGATTTCAGATAAAAATATCCCTCTAAATCTCACCTCTTTTATTCAATACAATATTTATGGTATTTGACATTGCAAGTAACCCTTAGGTTTCATGATATGAAAAGACTCTCAGGATCTGGATGAATCATGCTCAATAGAGCTGATATGTAGAAGTGAAAACTTTAGCTGGGAAGTGAGGCTATCTAGCCATGTGGCATTTACTTCTTACTATTACTTGATTTCTTCTGCAGGCTTGATAGGTAAAAAATAAGAAACATTTTACAAAATTGTTTCTTAGTGGGAAAATCAGCCAAGAGAGACTGAGACTACAATTTTGTTGAAAATTTTTGTAATAGCTTAAGGACATGCCCTGAGAACACATGACTCTTTGAGGGAAAAAAAAAAAAACCCTAGGAACATGTACAAAGTACAAAAGATTTCTATATTTGTGAATTTCTGAATATGGAAAGATATTAGGACACATCCTTTGTAACTACCAAAAAGCCCCCAAAGCTAAAGAAATAATGCTGATGCTGAGCAATTAAACTGAAGGCCTGTCTTGAGGAAAAAAGTCTGGATTGTTGAAGATATACATTGTAGGGAAGACTGATGATGCTGGAAAGGAGGCCACACTGACAGAGGTCTCAGAAGACAGGACATAGGTGTAGGGATTAGCTTTAAGAAGGTACAAAGGAAGGAGCGGTAGCTGTGGAGATGTGGAACAATTTTGATTTGACAAGAATAGTGGATGAAAGCATTGATGAGCAATCAAGTCACCATTTTTCACTGAAGTCATATGCTATCGCAGGTAGGGGAAAGACAGAGTTATCCAGAGGCACTGAGTATTTCTAGAAAAGATAACCACTGAGGGCGAGGGAAGGATTGAAGTGCAGTAGATGAAACATGACTGCAGAACAGCAGTGGAGATTGAACCACAGTCCAAGAACCCAAGTCTCTAACCTACACTAAACTTGCTTCCTGTGATTGTGTTGATAGCATTGACTGATTTTCTTAGCAAAGAACCCCCCTAAATCTGTGTATATAACCAAAACTTCCTTTATTCATCAACTTTCCAGGTCCAGTAAGTTTAAATATCAAATGAGACAGATTTTCCTGTAGTGTAAATCAGCGCTGTCCTTACTCTCTGGTCCTCGGGACTCAGCTCGGACATCAGCATTTCTGTATTGTACGTGCTCCACTCCCAACTCCGGTTGATGAAATACTCCAGCATGGAAACGGTCCTTAAAAGGCGATTCATGAGCTTTGTCATCCTGAGGTAAAGGTCAGACAGGAGTAAACATCAGTGCACCACAAATGGCTGTTTCCCTGTCACTCCACAGTGATGTATGAGAAGTTATTTCTGAGAAAATATAAAAGTTGTCCTTTTCTCTTTTCCCCAATTTCTCATTAAAATTCTTATTATTTTTTACCTTCCACATCAACTGTTTATTTTACAGAAAAGGAAAGGAGATGAATCTAAAGGAGCTTGTTCTATTAGGTATTTAATACCACCAAACTCTCACTGCGGCCTCCAACTCCTGGGCTCAAGCCATCTTCCCACCTCAGCTCCCTGCATAGCTGAGACCACAAGCACACGCTGCCATGTCCACCTACCTAATTTTTTAATTTTTTTTTTTTTAAATTTGTAGAGACAGGATCTTACTATGTTGCCCAGCCTGGTCACAAACTCCTGGCCTCAAATGACCCTCCCACTGTGGCCTCCCAAAGCACTGGGACTACAGGCATGAGCACCACACTCTGCCCTCATTCTCTTTACTAACATCTCTTTCTCAAGAATAGCAAAACTATTTTAACATTGTCAACTGTTCACCCTTAGTGACATACTGTTCATCTTTTTTTAATTCTTAGGTAGATAATTAGAATACTTATTCCTCTTCTTTATTGTATGTCCTTGGACTAAAAAAAAATTGATAGGATCTAAGGTCTCAGTGCGTAACTTCTGGGCAGAAGTGTTGACTATGTTAGCATCCAGTGAACCAAAAGCAGCTGTCAATTGTAATGCTAATTTAAGGGGAAAAGAACGTATAACTTATAGTTAGGCACAGTGCTAATGCTTTAAAAATATATCAACTTTGCTAATTGTGATAACATCCTTTGTTAGGTAAGTATTTGCATTTTTATGAATGGTAACATGAACTTAAGGTAAATTGTCCAAGTCAATTTCTAACCCAGTTTTTTGGTTTTTAATTAGAGTCTCACTCTGTTGTTACCCAGGCTGGAATGCAATGGCACGCTCATGGCCACCACAGCCTCGACTTCCTGGGCTCAGGCGATCCTTCCACCTCAGCGTTCCAACTAGTTGGGCCCACAGGCGTGTGCCATCAATGCCCGGCTAATTTTTTTTTTTTTTTTAATTGTAGAGACAAAGTTTCACCAAGTTGTCCAGGCTGCCAATGTAATCTCACTACTCTGTGTTCCATGCCTTGAGATGAACCACATTTTCTAATCCCTTGATCAGGACTTGGACCAGCTCTTCTTTGTGAAACTTCCAATTGTATAACTACTCACAACAAATTTTCATATGCAATCCTACTTGATCCTAACAGTATGACTGTGAGATAGCCAAGTTTTATGCTATTTATCTTCATTTTACAGAAATATTTTGTACAAGGTCACATACCTTGTACAAACCTCAGTCTTATTAATTATAAGTCATCTTTGGCTGATAGTGCATTTGATTTTTTATCTAGTTAATCCAATTTTGGTAGTAGTGGTCACTACAGTTGACTCAGTAATTTCTTATGATGCTATTCTCACTATATCTTGGGAAATTTTTTAGGCTGGAGGTAGACGTTATTGTACCTTGATAACAAACACCAGAATACAATATCACTTAACTATTATTATCTAAATCTTTATCCATTCCTAACTCTGATGCAATTGATGTGACTTCAATAAATTTATTTAATTTTTTTAAAATAATGGTCATAAATGATGTTATTGTATTTATAAGAGTATATCAGTATATTATGATTTTTTTTAGAAAAAATATGATTATTATTGTCAGGTAGAGAATGTCTCCTTAATACATAAAACATAAATGCTATAGAAGAAAGCGATGATTCATTTTATCACATAAACACTTAAAATATCTTTAGTAATAGTAGGGATTCTAAGCACTCATATTAAACCCTATAAAATAGGTTAGGACTATTGCTCCCTTTTTACGGAAGAAGTTAGGATTTAGAGACGTGAAGTAATTAGGGCACCTGTGGCTAAATTGGTGAATTCTGGATTTAAATCCTGTAAGTCTTGACTCCAAACTCCATACTCCTAAGCTCTATGTTATATGTATCTTTACTTGTATTACAAAAAAACTTTACAATTTGCCTGCCTCTGTTCCCTGCTTATTTTTCTATTGGGTTGTCCTTGTTATTTTGGAGGAACTAAATACATATCGATTTTTACTGTGTATCTTCCTTATTTATTTATTTATTTATTTAACTATTGAACATTTTTCCACACTCAGGCTTTCTTCCAGCCCTGGCATATTTTCAAGGTTATAGCACTTCTGCCTACCGTGTTTGGGTTTTCTTTTCCCATCTTTATTTACTAAACCCCATACAAATATTTTCCTCATAAACACAATGTTTCTTTTTTATCTTGTTCAAGAAAAACTGAGTTATGAGCTCTAAATGAGATCTCTAAAATTTTGGATAAACTACATTGGTTACGTTTTAGTATTATGCACTGCTAATATGGAAGAACACTAAACATGTTGAGAAAGACTTCCTCCTTATGGAGGGACTAGTACCAAAGGCAATACTATTCATGCTTCTGATTTTGATCACAGGAATTACCTTTGGTAATTATGATAATGACTCTTCTGACACATATATTATTATTCAAGTGAGACAGAGAGACAAAGCTATGTCCTATGTCACACAGCTAGATGGTGACAGCTGCCTTAGCATCAGCCCACTTGGTTCCCTCTAATTTCTTCACTCTTCTCTAGGTGGCAGTACATCCCATTCAGAATACTGGCTTTGAGACGCCGCTTTCTCCAAGTACAAACATGAAATTCATTTATATTTCTCACACACCTGACCATATAAACATAGCCTGAAGATAATTTTATACACTATTTTAAATAATTTTGTGCATTAGACAAAGTTTAAGATTGTGTTTTGACTGTGACCCATCACATGAGGTCAGGTTGTAATGTCATGTTGGCATTTTAAAAGTTTCACACTGTGGTAGAACATTTTGACTTTTGGGTTTTGGATTAGGGATATTCAACCTGTGTGTGTGTGTGTGTGTGTGTGTGTGTGTGTGTGTGTGTGTGTGTGTGTATGCACATGTGCATGCGTGTGTGTGTATCAGATTCAATTGTCTTCTTTTATCCTCAGCTGAAGGGAGGACTAAATTATTTGGGACTCTAATCTCTCATGCAGCAACATTCTCAAAGCCTCTGACCCAGTTTCTTACCTGGGTTTCCGTCCTGTGAGCCGTAGATAGAAGTCATAGATGATGGCAGGAGCCCGGTGGCTGACCGCATTCCAGTACTGGGTTGTGAAGTTGTTGGTTGTGAAGTCAGCATATGGCCTCCTGAAAGCTCTCTCAAATGGGATTTTTTCAAAGCTGGCCAAGACTTGGAATCCTGGAAAAAAGAATAAGTGCTAAATCTTGAAAGTGTAAGCCTATCGTGGTGGAAGGCATTTGCAATGGGTCAAAATAATAAAGACTAAGGATTTGCTGTGTAGAGTCAAAAATCAATTTCTGGAAACAATATAAAGATTTTTATGCCAGGCAAGTGGTCATCTGTAAAACCAAACAATGTGAGTGGATTAAGAATTGGGTCCTCTACTTGAAACATTTACTGTAAAAAATTCTTGAAGAATTGTTATAGTCATTACAATGAAGTGCTGTTCAGGAAAACATAAATCCATCATTTAATTACAAGGCTATCTTATCTATTCTGAAAGTCCCAAGACAGAGGCTAAGGGCCTTATTTCCTTGGCTGGATTATTACTTGCAGAACCATTAAGAAAGTCTCTTAACACATTTTACTTAAATCTTTATTAAAGGTTTAAGTAAAAGATTACAAAGGCAAGATTCCATTGTAATGGTTAACTTTAAATACCACAGTCTTTTATTTCTTTGGTATTTCTACTTCTCTGGGAATATATCATACTCAATAGTCCACTCTGGTCTCAGGGATTTTACTTTTTTTCATAATAATCTTTTTCTTTTGACATTTCTAAGAGCAAGTTTAGTTTGAAACATTTTATATTTGTCAATTCAATAATTATTTTCAAAAGATAGTAATTTGAATTCAATTTGGTTTAATTTATATTGATTTTCTTCAAAAATATACCTAAGTTTATTACTCAATTATGATGAAGATATCAGTTATTATAATATGATTATTGCCCTTCTTAAAAAGATTTCCACTTGGAAATTTATAGGAAAAATATAGACCCTGTACAGAGAAGATTCTTGAGAAACATTTGGTCCACAGACATATATACTTGAAAAAGAAAATAATTAACAAAGTTATGCACATTAAAAGCATAAGAGATTCTGATATCAACATTGACTTTCTGATCTATTTATCCATATGTCTATGCCACATTTCTGCTTGGATATGTAATAAACAGTCACATAAAACAGCTCTAAAACTGGCCTTTTTATACTCTCACTACCAACCACCCCCTTCTCAATACATACACAAAATTACTTCTCCACCAATCTTCCACTTCTCATTATAAATGGTAATTCAATTTTTTTTGGTAGTATGGTCAAAAACTTTGGGGTCATCGTTTTGATTCTTTTCTTTAACAACCCACATACAATTGAATACCAGAATCGATCACCTCTTTGAAAAATATCCGGAATCATAATTCCTACTGCTGTCTCTGTTCTAAACCACTACCATATACTGGAATATTGCAACAGTGTCCTGAGTGGTCTCTGCTACTACCAACTACCCTTGCACCCCTACAGTCTGCTTTCCACCTGGCAGCCACAGTGATTCCTTTAAAATATAACTCAGGCTATATTGAGAATTCAGACCCCTTCAATGGAATCACATTCCATCTAAAGGGAAACCAAACTTTTACCATGGCCTATAAGTCCTCGTGTCATCTGCATCCTCACTCCCTATGCCCATCCCTCTGACTGTATCTCCTACCATTCTCCCTTTCAATGCTTCTGCTGTGGCCATACCGGCCTCCTTGCTGTTCTTGAATATGTCCTTTAGCACTTACTGTTTTTCAACTTGGAAAACTTCCTCCACCCATCCCTCTGATTTGTCCCCTCACTTCTTCCAGGTCTTTGCTAAGATGTCACTATATCAGAGAGGCTTTTCTTGGCCACCACATATAATATAGCAGCTTCCTACTTTACTTCTTACCTCTTTAATCTTCTTTATTTTTCTTCAAGCACTCAATCATATCTGATGTGTCTTTCTCCCTACTAGGATGTAAGTACCATGAGACATAATTGTGTCTATTTTGTTCTCACCTATGCAGTACCTTGAAAAGTGGTTGTGAGGTGGTCAGTGCCCAATAAATATTTTTTGGCTTAATGAATGAATAAATATCCCAGCAGCATACAATTACTTTCCATTTTCTAAATCTATCTCAACTCTTACTTTAGCAATTAAAAACAAACAAACATTTATTTAGCAGATACTTGCCAGGCACCTGTCCCTGGTGCTTGGGTTAAAATATATATATATATGATATATTCCCTGTCCTTAAAGGAATTGGCAGTCTAGTGAAATGGACAGTTAGTGATTACAGTATATTGGCTGAGTGTTCTGCTAGAGGTCAGTACAATAAGCTCCAACGGAATACAAAAGAAGCATCTATTTCTGTCTGGGTGCCAGGGGGGTTAGAAAAGGCTTCCCGAGAAAGCTGTCCAAATGGCAATAGCAAACATTTACTGAAATGTTTACTGTTCTAGTCACTGTGCTAAGCACTTTATCTCATTAAATCCTCCCAAGAGCTCTCTGAAGTAGAAGAATTATTATTCTCACGTGCCAGGTAAGAATATTAATCTACAAGGAGAAATTGAATGATTTTCCCAAGTTCATACAAGTAAGTAGTGGAGTCTAGTAAATAATGGGATCTCTATGCCAGCATAAAACCTCTATGCAGCATGGATTTCTGTGTGTTTAGTGGTATAGCCTCAGCACCAAGAATAATACCTATTCAATGATACAGAAACGAATGAATGAGCTGTGCCTGGAATCCAGACCTATTAGACTGTAAAGCCCCAAACTCTTAACCATCAAGTGATTGTCTTTCTAACCCAAAGGACAAGTAGGATTTCATGTACATGTGGAAAATGTAATTTGGCAATTAAAAACCATACTTCTACATGTTCATAGGTTAAATGAGTTAAAATGAAAAATTTTTAAATGCTTAAAAAGTAACAAGAAACATTGTATAGCAAAATGTGTGGGATACAGAAAAAGTGGCATTTGAGGGGAATGTAAAACCTTGAATGCTTACACTGGAAAAGCCGAATAGTCATAAGCTATATTTCTAAGTTAAATAGAAAGAAAAAAACAATTTAAAGAAAATAGGAGAAAAAGGATAATAGAGATAAGAAATAAATGCAATAGAAAACAAAGCAGCAGTATAAAGAATCAATAACTAGAAGTTGCTTCTTTGAAAAATATAATGTACGCCATTGGAAGACTGAAAAAAAAGACACACTCGCAAATATTATGAATTAAAAGGGAGCTCTAACTACAGCTACAGTTTAGGGAGAAAATATTAAGACACCAAAAATTATATGAGAATATATTTTAAAACTTAGACAAATTCTTAGAAAAAGAGACAAATAAAATTTACTGAAACTGATTCAAACAGAAACTGAAAGCCTGCGAAATCCTGCAACAATTAAAAAAAGAGAAGCAATGAAATTCTTCCCATAGCAAATTCAAATAACTTACAGGCAGTTTTATCAAGCTTTCAGGGAATAGATTATTACTTCAACCATACATACATACTTATAGCGAATAGAATGAAAAAAAAAGGAGTAACATATTTTAACTCATTCTATGAAGTTGATATACCAAAGCCAAAATTAGATAAGGTCTTCATGAAAACAAAAATAACTTTATTTTACTTAAGGGTAGCTGCAAAAATTCTAAATAAATTATTAGCAAATTGAGTGTAATGGAGTATAAAAAAGATAACATGCTACGACCAAGTTAGGTTTATCCTATAAATGGTAGAATAGTTTAATATTTGAAGCCTTCTGTTGAAAATTAGGAATAAAACAATGATATGTACTATTTCAATTTCTCTTCAAAATTTATGAGTTCAACAACAACAACAAAACAAAGACTGAAGCTTTGGAAAGACAAGAATAATACTGGTATTTTTGAACATTAAGCAATTGTCTTCATAGAAAATTCTATTCAATCATTAGCAATTACAATCTTAGCAAGCTGGCCAGGTATATTGTTAATATAAACTTATTTGCTTCTATTAATCCTTTTTTTTTTTTTTTGAGTTGGAGTCTCACTCCGTCGCCCAGACTGGAGTGCAGTGGCCGCTCCCGGCCACCGCAGCCTCGACCTGCTGGGCTCCAGCGATCCTTCCGCCTCAGCCTTCCGAGGAGCCGGAATTACAGGCGCGCGCTACCACGCCTGGCTAATTTTTTGATTTTATTGTAGAGATGAGGTCTCGCCTGCCCAGGCGGGTCTCGAACCCGCGGGCTCAGGCAATCCACTCACCTCAGCCTCCCAAAGGCGCGGGATTACAGGCTGAGCCACTGAGCCCGGGTTCATTTTTATGGGTGGTATGGTATCTTAGCTATCTTAATTCTACTGCCAAAGAAAAAGAAATTTGTTTTGATTTCTAAATATTTGCAAAACGATTTATATATATGATCTAGATAGCTGGATAATGATCTAAAGAACTTTAATGGGAGATAATTTAATTTCATTTTTACTGAAGTAATTAATAACTTTGCAAACAGAATGACACAGCAGAGTGCTCTAATTTGGAAATCAATTCTGGCAAATTAAGTACATTTGATTATTTTTACTATGCCTAGTAACTAAACAACACCTAGATAATCTAAAATCACGGACTTTAACTTGAAAATCAACCCCCAAATTGACAAAAGAATACAAGATTGGATAGCTGATTTTCTAAGTATGAAAGATTAATTACTTCAATTTAGCAAGCTATTTCCAAGGTTATACTTATTGCACACTCAAGAGAGGCAAGCTGCATAAATTAATGAAGAGTAACACTAACTCAATAACAAAGGTATGATATTGTTTGATCATGTAACATTCTCAGTGATGTATTGAGGGGAAAGGGTGTGTGCATGGGAGCTAATGCCCCAAAGGGGATAGTATTTTATCACCTACATTGCTTATAATTTCCAACTTTTCCTTGGTTTTATGAGTGTTTTTAAAATTTTTACAGCCAATATGTTCAATCATGCACATGTTCCCACTGACACCTTTCTTTGGTATATACCACACTACATTCTAATGAACTATTACTTATTTACAATGTCTAATGTTTTTGTGTCTTTTCTTACTTTTTGTCTTTCTCCCTTGCTGGGCTCTAAGCTTCATGCCACACTTTTCTTTTTTTTTTCCTGTGGTGGTTATATAGTTACACTGCTATAGGTACTTACCCATTTTGCCCCAATTACAGGGATTGAGATTACCAGATGTACAGTGGTAGACTAGCGTTGATTTTGGTCTGCAAGATGAAATAGAAATTAGATAAATACAGCAAAGTGGAGAACTAATGAAAGAAAGATAAGACAAAATAATATTTAGACAGAGTGGTTTCAATAATTCCCCAGACGAATGCAAATTATGTAACACTTCATCTTTTGTTCCTTCCTTGAGTTAATAAACAAAATGGAAGATTAGGAAAATGTGTGTGTGTGTGTGTGTGTGTGTGTGTGTGTGTGTGTCAAATACGTGTGACATATTATGGAGCGCATGTGTCTGAGTTCACATAAGAAAATTTTAATTCTGTTTATCATATTTACTAACAGAGCCAAATATACAGTCTATTTTTTTCCTTTGTACTAGAAAATTTCCTCACACATGATAATCTGAACTTTTGGCATTTATAGGAACTGAGCTGCTCAATAAAATATAAAATATGCTCTCATTTCATCAACTTTTATCTCCTCTGCCTTAAAAAAGAAAGCTGTATTTTAGGTTATAAAATAGAAAAAAAAAATGTCGAGTTCTTAAGAATTTGATGGTTAAGTGATTTAATGGGTTTATTACTTTATGATCAGCCAAGTCCTAAACGATATGTATAAAACAACACAATGATAGTGATGTCAATGAGAAACTATGTAAAATATTAAAACAAACACCTTCTCACACTTGGAGTCCTGTACAATAAAATGTCTATAGTTTGAAAATGTGCCTAACATATTTACCCTTCTCTTCATCAAATCTTTGAAAGCCCACTAGAGCATCCACACCTGTGAACTGCAGTGTACCATCCTACTGCTAGGGTGAGATTGACGACTGTATCAACCGGAATTAAATCTGCCACAGCCTTTGGCGTAGCTTTTATGGCCCGAAGAAACCCTTTCCCAGCCTGTATAGGAAAAAGAACATAAAATATTAAACCAGGTCTTAAGTACAGCTGGGGCTAGAGTATATATCAAGCAGATAATACTAGTGCTGTTAGTGAAAATAGCTACTAGGTTATCAGGTTAAGTTTGATTTCCCAAAAATTCGTGAGAGGTTGATATACGTAGTTAATTAACAAACGCCAAGAATAAGTTTTCATATCTTAAAAATTAATTCATAAGACACTTTAGGAATTACTGTTCCCCAAATTTTCTATTAATATTTGTTTAGCATTTCTTTGATGATTTTGCTTTATGCTTGTTTAGTAACTTATTTGAAAAAAATTGATGAAATTCTACAGTTAATAAAACAAAAACTTTTTCTTCTTTTTGCTTGGGAAAATATTGTCATTATTTACTTTTTGTTCAGTATCTTAGTTCACATCACTGATGTTATCTAAATGTGAGAATTGTGAATTATTCATATTAACAATTGGTGAATTTTATGAAGTTGATTCTTTAAACTTTGCATGTTTCCAACATCTACTGCAATTTCTTATATTCTCAATTTTTGTTTTCCATAACTGGTTTCCCTTTCTTGGATATAAGAAACCAGTTTGGAAAATTTTAGAAAATGTAAATAAATGTGCAGCTTTGAATATAATGAAACTAACTCTGGGATCATTTAAAACAATGATGTTCTGAGTCACCAAATGTTTACCCCAACTTTAAAAAAGAAAGAGTTGAAGGCAGGTAGAAAGCAGAAAGAGGGGATACTAGAAAAATCAGAACTCAGAAGGAAATTCATTGTCTTTCATAATTTACTGTCTCTTATTTGTATTTTAATTTGTATTTGATTTTTTTGTAGAGATGAAGTCTCGTCTCTAATTCATGTTGAACTTTGTTCTGGGAAGAGCAGAGGCAGAGTCTGAAGCAGAGTCTGAATTCCTAATACGTTTTAAGTTCATTTAGAGAATTGATATCCTATTCATTGTCCCACAGAGTAAAGTGTGGTTCTGGTCCTCAGTGCTCTGGTGTGAGCCATGAGCCCTACATGTACTATTGATCTCGCTGGATCAATATGGACTGCAGGGAGATGTGCACAAAGGGTTGCTCGCCCAGAGCACCCATGTTTCTCTTGTTTGTGAGAGAATGATTGGTGAAAAGTTGTATTCATATTCACCAATGTTTATATTTTAAGAATCTGCTCTACTTGGTATTTCTCTCTTTCTTGTTATCTATTAAGAATTAGTTACTGACATATATCTCCTTTCTAAATACACAGCATAAACTCTTGTATGTGTTTTGTCAGCAATACTTTAATAATCTTTGAGGATATGATTTTTACTGCATACCTAATTCACACTAGTAATAAACAGCAAATAATTCACAGCAGTAATAAATAGCAAAAAGGGGGAAATAGCTCCTTCTTGTGGTAACTAAAGGAAAATCCTTGGTACCCAAAGACTCCAAAATAAAATTCCTAAACAGTAATTGATATCACATGGCTTCCTGATAATAACATTCTCAAAGATTAAAAGCAATTTCACCCTATTTTGCAATCAGCAAAAATTGAGAAAAGACGCTTCAGTTGTTGTTAGTAAAGTAACACATCTTTGGATCAACAAGCTAAGCCAACACAAAGAATGTGCTTACTATTCCTCCACCATATACATACCGCAATAATGAGCCCGCTAGGTCCATTTAGATTATCAACCCAACCCTAAAAGAAAGAAGATTTCTATTGGTTACACATTTCAGAAAACTGTTTTATCTTTGGAACTTCTGCAGTTTAAACTTTTTTTTTTAGTCAGAGTCTCATTTTGTCCCCCAGGCTGGAGTACAGTGGCGTGATCTCAGGTTACTGCAGGCTTGACCTTCTGGGCTCAGACAATCCTTTTGCCTCAGCCTCCCAAGTGACTGGGACTACAGCATGTACTACCACACCCAGCTAACTGTTTAGCAGAGATGAGGTATCACTGTGCTTCCCAGACTGGTCTCAAATTCCTGGGCTCAAGCAATCCTCTCGCCTCAGCCTCCCAAATTTCTAGGATTACAGGCATGAGCCACCACACTTGGCTGCTGTCTAATCTTAATACATTTCAAACAAGAGAACTGAGACCCAAGCCAACAAAATTAACCCAGTATTTCTAAGATTCTAAATAAAGATCAATGGCAAAAGCACTGGCTATTCTCTATACTTTATCTGTCTGTGCAAGAATTAAAATGTTGCTCACATTGCTTTTCATAGCAGGAGTCAAAGATGGTTTCCTGGTGTTTTATGACATTTTATAGCCTACGTTGGACCTTGTTTTTAGTATTATGATCAGTTCAGCAATTCACTAACCAGACTTCTCCATCTCAGTCCTGATTATAAGCTCCTTAGCAGAACATTTCAAACATGATTTGTAGAAATTACCATTTTCTTGAAATTTTTAATAGTGATAGAGTCCATACCAGATATATGTGCATGTATGTTAGCTTGCTTAAAGATGTTACTGGAAAGATTATATTTTGGAGCAGTTAGAGGGAAATGTCTTTTTGAATTTGCTTCTTAAGCCCTTAGCAAGTCAGTTGACCTCATTATGTCTGTTTATCTTATAGTGTAAAAGTCAAAATGTGTGTGTATAATGGAAGAGGAGAGAAAAGAGAGAAGATGATAGGATTCATATTTGTTGAGCCTTTTACTAGGTACCTGTCTTTTACTAGGGAATAAGTATTCCTTATATATTGCCTCATTTAATCAACTCTCCAAGGTAAGTAATATCAGTTCCGTTTTACAGAAGAGATAATTCAGAAGGTTGCATTGCCAATAAGGAGTGGAACTTGAGTTTAACTGACCCCAAGCCTTCATGGAGTTGCTTTGAAGAAGATGATATAATTCAGAATGGTTTTAAAAGTGGTATACAGAAGTAAAAGAAATTAGTATTCCAAAACTAAGAACCCTCTGTGATGTTTGTGACTCCTGTTTATCCTGGCAGTTGCAATACTACTGACCAATTTGGCCATCAAGAGCCTTGTGGCATATTAAACCATAGTGGGAATGCCAAGAAGTAAAACCACCACCCATGACAATTTTGAGACTGGAGTTAATTAGAAGCTAATTTAAGATCTCTGCCAACTTTAGACAGAGTAACTCCCAGAGGAGCTGCATGCTAGGAGAACCCTGAACCCCACATGGAATTTGCCCTGATATAGTGGGTTCATGCTAATTTGCTGCATTCAGCTATACATCCTGAGAAGAAGGAGAAGGAGAAGGAGAAGCGGGGGGGGGGGGGGGAAGCAGGAGGGAGAGGAGGAGGAGGAGGGGATGGAGGAGGAGAAGAGACATCAGAAAGTAACTGGGCTAGAAGAGCCATGTTTTAGAGGCAAAACAAGGAATCCAGGTGAGTGGGCTTACCGGGAAAGGCTCCTGCCAGGTTGCTCCCACAATGGAGGGTCTTATGATGGCTATGTTCAGGTTCCCGCTCTCTTGCTGCACCACCATCTCTCCTAAGGCCTTGGTGTAGGTGTAAGTATTGGGCCGATCTCCAATCAGCTTGGGTGTGATCTCGTCAATAATAGCATCGTCTAACCATCTAAAGGTAATCACAGTAAAAAGAATTCTAGTAACATATGTTAGACAACAGTCCAGAAAGAAAATGTGTGATGCAGATAATGAAACAGAACTCCCACCTTCTAGCTTGAGTTCTGGAATTCGGAAGAGGACAGGATACCAAGATTGAGTGTGTACCTGTTCAAATCATGAATGATGTATGAGCTCTGTGCCCTACACTGCTGAACTCAGTCTTATCAGTCAGATCCCACTTCTTCCCACCCAGATAACAGATCCAATAGCAATCTACTCTATTATTACTACTAGTATAGTACTGTTAGTACTGCTTTATCAGAACTACTGCTTTATTACATATAACCACTAATTATCTTTAATTACTTCCTCTCCAATAGGTTCATAAGTACATTCATTGAATATATTTTTGAGCACCAATCATGTGCCCCACATATGCTGGGTACTGTATTCATGGAATAGAGGCTCTCATTCAAAGTATGTCAGTGGCAGCCCTACTCATTCAATGTTGTCCGATAAAAACCTACTGCTCCATTCCTGAAACTTCTAGCTTTAAATTTTAAAAAATTCATTTAATGCAAACCAAATCAAAGCAAATACATTTGGCAGACTTACAGTCTTTTTAGCAAATCTATGAAACACATTTTGAAGGTCTGTTTAGAGTGTATGCTACTAACTGGATAATTATTTCCAGAGATTTCCAATGAATTCTCAGGTCTGTTAAGTGGGGTGATTACGGTACCCTGAAGCAGCTTCAATAGTGCAATTACTGAATTCTCCCACTTACAAGGTGACAAACATCACAAACAACTGAGTTACCATAGCATCAGCCTAATCTTTCTTAAAAATATGTCAAAACGATTTTCATAATCCCAAAGTCTATCTACACTTCTCTAAGCAACAGAATTGTTGTCAATTAAATATGTAATATTTATCTTAGCTAGCAGATATATTTGGTTAAATTATTGATAGAGCTTTTTTAAAAAAAAGTAGGCTGCCTGAATATGTTAGTATGATTTTTATATCAATGTATTTGGCACATTTATTTCTATTTTGCAGGACAGAACATAACTATACTAGTTTGGAGAAAATCTTAGCTGTTACCACTTTGCTGACATGACTAACTGTGTGTCAGCATTTAAGATGCGCATGATGTTATTAAGATTTATTCAGAATCACAACTCCCAATTTAAATAACTCATTTGATACTGGGGTGAAACATGAGCACTTCTATAATTTTTGTTTGTTTGTTTTTCTTGTGTTGCTTCTACTAATGCTGAGTTTATTCTGGTTACTCAAATGCCTTTTAATTTAAATTGAATTGGGAAAAGTTGAGAAGTTCCTAGAATTAAAAACAACTTCAACTATGTAGAAAAATATAGATATTTAGATTGTATGGCCACCTGGGAACTGAAAGAGAGAGTGTAGGGTGACGCAGGTATCTCGCCATCTTTATAATAACACTACCACTATCCCATTTATTGGGAGGGCCACAGTGGATTGATTGACCTAAGGCCATTTTCTCTCACTTGCAAAAATACACAGGTTACAAAACAAGGTCTGGAAGAAGCAGAGCTTAATCTCGGTAAGGCTGAAAAGAAAAAATCCTAAAAAAACCCCTTTAGAACCCAGCAATGTACTAGGATTGTGTGTCACGTGACTGGTACCTGGTGCTGTCACTAAGGTGGGCGTGTGTGAAAAGGATAATGCCAAGGGCTTTACAAAGCTTGATGAATTTCCTTGTCTTAAAAATATTGGTTTCAGGCCAGGTGCGGTGGCTCAGCCTGAAATTCCAACACTTTGGGAAGCTGAGGAGAGAGGATTGCCTGAGCCTGGGGGTTCGAGACCAGCCTAGGCAACTTGGAGAGACCTTGTCTCTACAATAAATCACAAAAATTAGCCAGGCATGGTGGCATGCGTCTGTAGTTCCAGCTACTTGGAAGGCTAAAGCAGAAGAATCACTTAAGCCTAGCAGGTTGAGGCTGTGGTGGCCATGAGTGTGCCACTACACTCCAGCTTGGGTGACAAGAGTGAGACTCCAACTAATATATTCGCCTGAATTCCACTATATATAGATATATATTCCTTGTTTTACTTCTATTATATATAATAGCCTCATCTAACCACCTGAAGGTAATCACAGTAAAAAGAATTCTAGCCACATATGTTAAACAACAGACCAGAAAGAAAATGTGTGATGCAGACAATGAAACAGAACTCCCACCTTCTAGCTTGAGTTCTGGAATTCAGAACAGGACAGGATACCAAGATTGAATGTGTACCTGTTCAAATCATGAGTGATGGATGAGCTCTGTGCTCTACACTGCTGAGCCCAATCTTATCAGTCAGATCCAATAGCAATCTACTCTATTATATATATATATATATATAGGTTTCAGAGGTTTCTAAGGACATAAATACTAGAAATTGTAGTGTTATACAGATGGCTCACTTTGACTATGTCTAGCTTGCCTGAATTCCACCGTATGATCTTCTCATTCCCTCCAGTTTTACCTGTAAAAATGTCAATAATTATATCCATTCTAAATTCCCAGATTATCACAAAGCTAAACAGGCAAAGACACAACTGCACTTAAAGCTATTTGGTAGAACAAAATGAGCCAATAAGCCTAAAGTATTCTTATTTGTAATAAAATGACCAATGAGCATATATCTACATAGGTAATAGTTGCTTTTAAAATATATTTTCTCATACAGTTAAACAGACCATGTACATTTCATCTAGTTATTTCTTGGGTTCTGAGAGGAGACTAGTGTAACTAATATGCAGGCCCACTGGTTGAATGAGGCCCATTTTAGGACTTAAACACTAATTCAAGGTTGCTGCTGCTGTTTGTTCTCAGTTTGTTTTTAAAACAGTAAATAAGTTGGCATGAACAACATATGCTATCTAAGCCCAGATACATTTCTAAAATTAACCAAATATCCTTCAGTATACTCAAGAAGATGTTTTAAACACATAGCTCCTAATTCCTTAAACTTCTACTTGCATTGCTTCAAAAGAAGCATAAAGTCATTGAAAATTTTAGAAAGCATTATGTGTACATTTATGTGTTTGTATACACACATATGCAACTGCTTCTAAATGTTGTTCTTTTGGCTTCAAACTTATTGAATAAGCATCATGATTTCATTAAGAATTTCATTGTTTATATATTTACTGAATGAAATAAAGAGGGATATGTATTTTCCCTTTTCGTTTTCTTATGTAACAAGCAGGGCCAGCGTGGTAGTGTCTCAGGAAAAGCTTCTGGAGTGTAAGAGTGGAAAACACCATCTCCTGATAATGTTTGCTTTCTCCCTCTCCAATCTGGATTACATTTGTTTCTTGATTACTACAATTAAGATGCTGTAAATATTTATATGTCCATTTCCCCAGGACGATGAGCAGGGACTGTGATTCTTATCTTTGTGTCTAATCATCTTTCTGCCCCAAGCATGCCTGATTCAGTAATGGGTGCTCTTCCACATGGTAGTATTGATTGACCAATTGACCTATGTAAGGTTTTGGGATGCAGAGGTGGACAATGATAGGAGAGAACTCAGAAGGAGATGAGGTTATAGGGAGAATGTGGAAAAGGAAGAAAGGGAATGTCTTTGTAGAGAAGGAAGCCAAATTGGAAGTTAAAGTGTCCAATGGCAGTGGTGAAAAGGGTTGAGAAACTGGAAGTCTAAAAGTGTCTATCCTCAGTTTGGTGGAGTTGCTTTCAAGTTGATTGAAGCTTTTCATTGGGAAGCAGGGTATTCTGGAGACTAATGCTTGTGGTAAATTGGTCTTTGCATTTCCCTCCAAACTTTGAGCACCTAACCTAGCCCAAACCTGAGCTGGGTGCTGAGTGGCCTACCACTGGCCTGACATGAACATTATTCAGTGTAGTAACCCTGCTCGGATGTGAACATAAAGCCTGGTAAGATTAAAGCCCACAGGTTGTTCATTTTTTGGTCAGGTACATGCCATCTCAAAGCTGTGCCATCCTGAAAATGAATGCACAAGTGTTAGAAACAGCTTTCATGTTTCCCCTGGAACAGATTGGGTTTTTTTAGCTTTAACAATGTTTTTTTTTTTTTTAACTCTAGTGTCTCTGCCTTGATGAGCAATGTGTTTTTTCAGCACAAAGTCAAGTCTACTTTCCAACTCGTGACCTCCTTTCATCTTTCCCTAAGGGCCATTGTGAGGCCAGGGCGGCAGCAGCCTCCAATCCTTTGCCTCTCGTACCCTGTGTCCTTGGTATGCACACTGCTCTTTCATTTTTACATGGTAGATTAGCTGTGTCATCTGGCTTCTGAAGTGTGACTTTTTAGTAGGTACAAACTACTGGAAACTTTCATTCGATTAAAGCATTTAGAACTGAAAGACAACAGGAAGTGGGACGAATGGGAGAAAGAGGGGGCGTGGATTACTGGAAGACAAATGATCCCCATTTCAAATAAAGACTGCTCAGCGAGAAAGTTTTGTAAGACATTATTTCCCAAACTTGCCTGCTTATAAGTATGAAGTACACTGGGCCCTTGGTAAAAATCCATATTCCTGGGGTGCCATTTTAGAGCCACCAAATCACCTGTGGGGTGAGAGTCTGATAATCTGTATTTTTTTAAATAAGCCCCAGCAATTCCTTTGGGTACACAAATCCAGGAATCACTAATTTAAAAGAAGTCCAGTCTATAAACTTAAGTCCTTAAGTTTTGAATACATCAGGTTAGCTCTCAAAAAGTCATTGAGTCTTGGAGTAAAACATTTAATAGGATTGAATTTTAAAATAATTAAATCCCTGGTACTAGAAATGTAAGATTACGACAATTATGCATATTCTAATCTACCCCCATGCAAAGCAGTAGAAATGTCCCAATGTTTTTTCCTTCCCACAACACACAGGTGGTTTTTATACCTGTTGTCATGTCCTAGTCCTAGTCTTTCATATCACTCCATCTTAGGTGATGGATATCCCTCCCAACCTCGGTTACTCTCCATAGCCTTCCCCACCGACCATG